CCCCGAAGCCGGTTTCAAGTGGCTCCATCTGAACGCTCCGAAATCACATGGAAAGCGCCTCGATCCCAAGCCACTTCTAGAGGTGGTTTCGAATCGCTTTCCCCGCATCGCGATTTGCGTCTGAACGCAATGTGATTTCAATGTGACTTCGCCTGGTCATGGATTACGGAGTGATATTTCTTTTTTTTATATGCAATACCAACTTTTACGTGGCAGCAACTTAAAGAGCAGTAATGGTCAAATAATGTGTCCGTTCTAGGGCGAGCTTCACCGCCTCTGGCGGGACCACGTCGGCATTCGGCCGAGATACGCTGGGAGGGGGGCATCAGCAAGCAGGTCGTTGACCTCTGACATTAATAACACGCCTCCTTGCGTGTTATCATCAAACAGCAATAAATGTAGCTCAAGCGTATTGTGTTCGGACACGGTTTCACAGGTGTGTGTGGCACGTGGACCAGATGTGAGGAATGTGAGTTACCCGAATCGCGCCTTGGGTGGTTCCGTATAGACACGGCCTATGTTGAAACCGACTCGAAACAGTTTCAATGTGACTACAGGTGTTCAGACGGAGCCACATTAAGGGTGCATGTGAATAAACCATTCACTCTTTCTCTCTCTCTCTCTCTCTCTCCCTCTTTCTCTCTGGTGGACTCCGACGTCAATACAGTTTCGCAAGCTTAATGTGAAGAGGGCCTTACTAAATACAGGTGGCAGTGCGGATCCTGAATTTTCCAGGAGGGCCTGCATGCCCTTTTCCGTTAACCGTTATGGGCTATTTTAATTCACCGTTAATCGTTGCTGACCCACTCTAATTCAATGTTAAGCGTTATCGGTATATTTCTCGTGAAGCGTTATTGGTCATTTTAATTATTCGTAAAGCGTTATTTGTCATCCCAAATCAGCGTTAAACGTTACTGAATAATTCTTCGTTACGCATAGACCTGCGTTCTAGTAGTCAAACCTCAAGAAGCAGTCGTCACTTTGCCCCTCAAAATGCAGGAAAATGCGTTATTGAAGGTTTAAAAATGCAAAATTTCCGGACCCCCCTACATTGCTCGCGCCTTTGGCACTCGACTCGTGCCTGCTGCGCTCGGTCCCCCTCTTCAAGCATTTGTGGGCGGCCTCGGGGACCAAGGCAGGCGTGGAACAGAGGGTACTAGTGTGAACACACTTCGTTACATACATTTCGTCAGCGATCACTCTATCTCACCAATTCAGATATCGAATATAGTGGAGTTCGAAAAAATGCATGTCAATTTGCCGTTATATTAAAGCGTCACCAACCGTCCTAAATTTACCGTTAAGCGTTACCAACCATCCTGAATTTGACGTTAAGCGTTTCGGGCCTGCTGAATTTACCGTTAACCGTTACAAGGACACAACCATGCAGACCCTCTTCCAGTCTTGCTTGGATCATGACAAGAAAGATCAAAGCCTTAAAGCTTTAACGCTATACTATATAGTTATAGCCCCATACTATAACAATTTTTTGTTACTTCTGGGTACAGAACTTGTTTCGGGTGGTTGAGATTAATGTTACTGGTTTGTCAGTGCAATTGCATGATGGGTGGGAGGTGATTTTGACATTTGATTCGTGATCATTGATAAGGAAGTCACTTGAAGTTGACCCAGTACATGCCTCTTTCAGGAGGGTGTTGTAATAAATCATACAATCCCCTCCACAGTTCCCCAAACACTTCCCCTCTCAGCGCTGTGAACTTGAAGTTGGTGAAACAGAAAACCCAAAATACTTCCCAGAAGTCTGAAATACCAATGTCCTTGGAAATCACTGTTGCAATACTGGAATAAAACAAATGGGGTGAGTCTCTTCAGATGAAAGAAAAGGTTACATTTTACAGTGTCTTCTGTAATAACAAGGAGGTTTAAAATCCTTGTTTATAGTCACAATAATAATATTATTCCCCAGAGACGTCGTTTAGTTAACCAGTACCAGGTGGCAAATAAATTAGCATGAAGGTCAAAGGTCATTCAGTCACGAGGAAAATTACCAAAATGGCTGCCGTTGTTTTGTTGCCGCAGGATATTCACCTGTTTCTGAGGCCAGTCTTGTTTTTACGTGCATGTTTGTTGTCTGGTTGAAGATAGAGAGGCATCTTATGTTTTCCTGATGTTTGGTTTAAGGTTTGAGGGTGCATTTTTCACCTCAAACCCGAAGGCGTTGGGTTGCGAGGCCGGTTTGAAGAACGCCCCCCTCCCAGCTGTAACCACATATTTTTATTGTCTTGAGAAAAGTTTCTCGGGTGGTCCAGTCAAATTATAGGCAATTATATAAGTAGCCGACGTTTTCAATGGATCAGAAGAGAGTTGACTCAACTGTTATGGAGGCCTGGAAGGCCTTCAGGGCTGAGCAAGGTGGGACGTCAAGCCAGGTAGGTATAGCGTTTGCCAGCCTAAACACTCGTTTCCTTTTATGGCCTTTTATGCCCTTATGTACAAAATGAATTTCCTATGTCTGTTCTTGTAAACAACGAAATTATCAGTATCCAGCTTACTAGTATGTAACCAGCCAAGGTGTCCCACCCCCCGCCCCATTTCTATGAAAATGAAAAGAATGAATTACAATTTTGTTATAAGTTTGCATCCAACTCCCCAGTCACTTCGTTGACACAAAGTTTTTATTAACACGTTGAAAAATCACAAGGGGTTGATTTGCGTCTCTTTAGTTGTTTCCGCAAATACTAGTGTCTTGGAATCTGGATACCTAAGACTTAAAGTGTCAATTACTATTATATATAATACTAAGTACTGGCATATGCTGATATGGTCATAACAATCCTTTCCATCCCGGAAAGAATTAGTCTGGGTTCCAGACCCAATCACACTGGACACAAAGTATCTCAGTGAGCTCACTGAGAAATTTCTCCAAAAAAAATTTTGAGAAGTAAACCTTCTAAAATGGCATTTCATGCATTTTTGAGAGGGTTTCCAAGAAAAAAATCAGAGATACATATTTATTCAATGACAAAGGGAGCAGTTTTTCTACGATTCCAGTCCATGTTTTCAAGAAAAATTTTGGACCTTTACATAAAAGTGGACCTTAACATAAAAAGTGGACCAAAAAGTGGACCTTTGAGCCTTGTGGGGGGTTCTTCCGAACATGAGACTATGAGCCAATGGAGCCAATGCAAAAAATTATTAAAATGATTAAAACAACTTCAGCTTGTCACCCATACAGTAAGAAATCGTAAAGTTTGAGATTATGAGTATTAGAAGTTTGGGTGTTTAATTTGCCATTCTACATGTAATTAGATAAGCTGTTGATTTGTTTATAGCCCCAGGGGTCATGTGACTATTCAGCGTTTCCCATGTCATTCTTGTCTGTATGTTTTAAGGGTGCTTGAATATTATGTGATATTATGTTTCAAAGCTATGAAATTGCCATACAATGTAATAATTGGTATGATATGTAGGGTCGGACCGTCCTATGGTTGAGAAGTATACAAAGTTTACATATTGTGAAGTGCAGCTGCTGTCACACTATTGCAAAAAAAGTTACAATTTCACTTGCCTTAAAGTTTAATTAAGTTACAAATGTACTTCTATACAATACTCATCGTGACTGCATCTGTGCCGTGCACACCCTCCAGACCTGTAAGTTGTAACCAGACCCTGCAATACTGGCCTGCATGAGGATAGGCTGACCATCGGGTCGTGTCCTTACTGGAGCTTGTTGTTTGTTTGTTTGTCACACCCTGGTGCAGCGATGCATGAATCCTCTCCACAAATAATACCACAGGCAATGGAAACTTCTTTGGATAAAGTGTAAATATTAAAGGGAGATCCACAGAGAGATAGATCTTACTAATCTTGGTTCCTGTGTGTTCTGAAAAATTTTTTAGGACTCTGAAAAGAAGAAAAAACTGGAGAGGTTCTTGAAGCTTCTTCTTGTCCAGGCTGAGAAACAGGAGTTGTACTTTCTGAATGACCAGGAGCAGTCTTGGTAAGTTTCTCTGCTTGTTCTTAAAATGTTCCTGGCCCTCGTATATAGAAAATCTAGACTTTACTGTTAATCTTATCAAGTTCTTGATTTCAGAAGTTGGTGTACAAAGTTTCTCTGAACTCTGAAGCAAATGTACATTGTACAGACTACTGTCAAAAGTGCATAAAAGAGTTGCCTGTCCAGTATTTTTTTGTAACTTTCTTGTGTGTGCTATTAAAAGTCAGGCTTTTTCCATGTAATCACCCTTTAACGACACAAAGTGAGATCTTTGTTACTACTTAATAATCATATATTATCAAGTACAGGTGCCTGTTGTAAGTCACTGATGTTTAACAGAATACTTACAAACATTTAGTAAAGCACTTAATTACCGGCATATGATTTTGAGGTTTTAAAAACCTGTTTTGTGATGTTTGATTTGCTGGATGAAAAACACCCGCAGAGAAGTACAGATAAAATTACAAGCAAAGAGAACGAAAATGGACAAACTTCTGCAAGAAATTCTTTTTCCATGACTTATTTCGTATGGTAAGCCTGTATTTGCCAGACCAAGGAATGACGTAGTGTATGTTTTGATGTCTATGTATTAAGTTATTAGCCCATCCATCATGGCTACTGACAGTGTGTTTTCCCTGATATACGCGCAAGTCTCACAGGAAGTGCAGGGGATGGGAAGGTACTGTCACCATCGATCTATGTTTGCACCTGTCATTATCAAGGATATACTGAGCAATCAGGCAGATAAATCAGTCGGTCCTGGTTTGCTGTGGACGGGTTGTGTTTAGATGTGAAACAGATTCACATGAATTGACCATTTCCTCATCATGAGGGGATGACAAACTTCCTGAAGCAATAATGTATGAAGGAAGCTGTACTGTACTGTACTGCATTCAGACTGGGCTGATATAACTGCATGGCAGTGTTTAGGTCTATGTTAAGAATTTAAAAAAAATTCTCACAGCTAGATCAGATCCACTTAAAAATTTGATCATTTGCTATGGAAAAAGGCTAACCCAGGGAAAATGCCATTTGTAATATCTTTTTTTGAGGCAAAGCATTTCAGAAAACCAACATTTACATTTGTATTACATATGCATATAAAGCAAATATGTTTGGTATATCAGGGTTCAAACTGGATTAAATCAAATGATTCTCATCTGCTCTTTTGGTATGATGTTATACATGTAGTTGCTCTATATTTGCTGCAGGTAGCAAATGCCTCCTACTGAGATTAATGTGAACTGCAAGCCCTTGAAGTTGAATCAGTTTTTAGGTTAGAGAAAACAGTTCTCTGGTGTTAAACCTCTTCCTTCTTCATATTTATAAAATCACTAACTGCACTTTACCTGAAGCTTGAGCAAGTACATTCGTTTTGATAAGAAAACGTTTGACATGCCAATCATGAACCATGTAATCCCAGTACACTTACAGAAGCATTTCTGAGATACGTGGTACAGTTAAGTGCATGCTGATACTAATGCCCTTCTCAACAGGATGTGCTCTAATTATAACCATCTCTGTTGCTGTAGTAGTTGGAAATTTACTTGAGGAAATAAACAGAGGGAGATGTTATGGACAACATTTTAACTTTCTATTATGTTACCAGAAACAGGTACGTCTGAGAACATGGGCCAGAAAGCCAGTTAGTATAGTGTCTTCTTGTTCTCTAACCACCTGTGGAATTTAGAAAACTTCATGAAAGTTTGTTAAAAGTTGTTGCTATTTTCAGTTTGGTCATGCCTGTTTCAATGAAATCAGTGAAAATATGCCAGACTTTTACTTACCTACAGGTGACCCACTTATGCAATTTCTGTTTCACAAGTCAACACAACACAACACAACACAACACAACACAACACAACACAACACAACACCCTATGAGCAGAATCACCTCAAACAAATCTGACTTTTTGGTTCCTTTCAGATTATCAATTTTCCGTTCAGGTGGATAGTTTTCAGTTCACTATTTTTCAAGTAACACACCATAGCTGTTAACATGTATTGGATCAGTGCTGGCTGGCTAGTCATGATGACTACCTGTTCACCAACATTTTTCTGAGAGTTATAGGCCAGCCATGTTTGGAGTATAACCACAGGGAAATGAATTTACTAGTGGATATTCTTACTAGATTTGGACCCAATGCTACTGGTATATTAACTGGAAAAAGTCTGTTATTTCTTTAGTACTTCTTATTCAGTGTCTTTTTTAACAGAAATGCACCTTTTATTTGATGTCACCTAAAGATATCCTGACTTTTGGTTGATGTACCAGTAACTGGGCTTATGCCTCACGCAAAGTATTTTTTTCTGATGGAGTTTACTGTGTATACTTTGTTCAAATCCAAATGTTTTTATGAATAGGAACTTTTTAGTCATGCCATGGTGTCAGAGATCAGGGATGTCAGGAATTCAGAGTCAGGAATTTTCTCCTGAATGGGGAAAGTTGTCTTTTCCTGCTACGATTCTTGTAGAGTAGCCAGACTAAATTGGAATGAAGCTCAGGCCATTTTGCTCTGGCTGTGCTTGGCACTGACCCATGCTGCACACTTCTTGACCTAGCTACACCTTCCCAAACTGTTGTCCAATAGTTTGTCCTTGTTGATTTGTTCAAGAGATTCCCTTAATCTACAATAACAGAGATGGTCTAAAATTAGAAAATGTCCCATGGAGAAGGAAATCACCTAAAGCATACACAAAATTGTAGAACACATCCAGATCATGGTTTCATAACCATTGGTGGATTCTCACTAATTAACTGGCAGACCCAAGTGCTATATATAACATGGTAGGTCTATCCTTTCACCCAAAATAACCTTATGTTGTACGAAAGAGGATAACCAACTTGCTCTCGAGGCAAATGTCTGCATGAGTCTGTGGTATGAACATTGAAGGTAATCTATAGTCAGTTTTATGGTGTATTGTTTAGTGAGTGCTCCCTTCTCAACCTACTTCCTGGTTTGACCTTTACTATACAAATATTGACCAGCCAGTAGTGTTCAGAAACTAACCTTTGATAAACTACAAAAGTCTTATGACTTTATTATTAATAATTACCACAATGTACAAACTATTGATCCTGGTCAAGCCTCCTGGAGTCTCAGGGTCACCATGCCCTTTGCATGTTCCCAGCCTCCTGGTAGAATAGGTAGGTTTTGCGGCAGAAACTTATTTAAAGTTCATTGGGTACAACAGTTGAAATGTGCAAGTTATGACTATAAGTATAGCTACATGTTTTATGTCAAAAAGACAAGCTCATACATGGCTTAATTTTCTTTTAGAGAGCATCGTACATTAGGTCATTTGTAGTTTACAAATAGAGACCAAAGGTCACAATGAACGTTTCATCAGATTCCAAAGAGTGTAATTTGTTTTTGAAAAATACCCTGGTATTGCTACATGGGTGATATGTAAAGGCATAAAAAACTCTAATAGTATAGAATGCAAGTTGTTGATTTTAAAACACAGATTTTGAATTGGATACTGAATAAATTGTAATATGTGTGTTCGTAAAACAAAAGACTGATTGATTTTGCTCCCTTAGTGCAGTTGTCTTAATTTTCAGATATTCCTGTACCTTGTATTTGAGGAGGTTTTGGAAAAGTGAAGGACAAATCTACTGATTTTCATCAGAACAGCAGTTGTCTTATGTAGTCATGTTGATTTTGTAGGGACTCCGGTACGGTGTGTAACGTCCTTGCCCAGGAGTTCCTGAGTGACGTACACGAGTGCTGCAGCGCGGAGGATGGGGAGAAGACGCTGGTGTCCTACCTGCTGTCAGGAAACGGCTGTCTGCTGGTCCAGGCACTGAACATCCTCCCGCTACAGGTCAGATCTACTATTCTTTTCTTAGGGTTCATTATTTACTTACCATGCTTCTATCTGACCCTCAACTCCTTGGCTCACTCACTCACTGTGTCTGTCTGATACTCCCATGTTTTTCTGTCCTTTCACTGTAACTTGGCCCTTACCAGTCTGGTCAGTGATTCACACATAGCTTAGTAGGAATCTGCCAAGTGAATCTGCCAAGTCCAGTCTGTTTGGTCGGCCTACAAAGGTAAAGTATTTGTGCAAAAGGCTACAGGATGTTATCATTAGGCAGTGGTGACAGGTACTGCAAATCAAATCAATTGATTTCATGGTAAGAGGGAAAGCAGTTTCCACTACTGTTTAGAGTAGATGTATGCTCTAGGGTATGTGATAATCCTTCTCAGTTTTTAATGCATTGTTACTTCCTAACAAAGTTGGCAATTTACTTGGGATTCAAGTTAAATTTGAGTGTGATCTACAGAAAAAGTGTTAGAAGAACAGCGAGTATGGCAGATTTCTAGCAGATAGACTAGTCTTACATGTAGCCTGCACATGTAGGTGAAGGTTGTCATGACTTGGCACTGAGACAGGATGCACTTGATTATCACTGTGTTCCATAGTAAACCTGACAGAGACATTGCTTAGGTTGGAACAAGTTGGTACAGGGCATTTACAGAATGCAACAAAAATCTTGCACAGACTTGCTCTTGGCAGTGTTGGTAACGTTCCTCCCATTCCCAGATCTACACATTTTCCACTTGGGGTGTTGAGCCCTGTACCAAGACAAGTTTAGACTCAGTTAGAGGCAGTTTGCTGTTGGCGAGTGTACGGTCACTTGTAGCCACAGACAGCTGAATGGACTATTTACCAGTCTCCATGGCATTGCAGGAGGATTGATGCTGTTCTCCTTTTCACCCTCACAGCATGAAGTTTCAGGTACCCTCATAAAGGTGCAGATACCACTGTTAGAGTGACTGCTGAGAGGTTGTTGGTTCAGGGAATGGGCGAGCCATCATCTTATCTGAGAAAGTGTCACAACCTGCCTTCAGCTGGTAGATCTTATGCTGCACAAATGGAATTTCAAGTTGTCATTTTTTCAGGACAAAAAATGTACCAGCTGGGAAAAACGTATGGAAACCAAAATGTTCCTTATTATTATTAGTTACCTTTCCAAAGGTGTTTGTAAGTTTAAAAAAGTGTCTTGTCTAAATTGTTCCTTTATTGGAACCAAGAAAATGTATTGCATTGCTGCATGGTAAAGTCATTTTTTTTCTTACCAGATGATTTCTTTAAACTTCCTCAACAATTCATAGCCACAAGGAGCTTCGGAGGTATTCTTCGGTTGTCTTCTTTTCTACACCCCCTACCGGTGAAATATGGATAAAAATGTGGGAAAAATTTTTAAAAGAGCAGATTAAAGCATACATTGAAGTGTTGTAATTCTACTCAAGCTCTAGTAGATTATAAGCCTGGCATATCAGTGGTTGGTTATTAATGAAGTACAGGCTGTTGTTTCCTTAATTGCTGCTAAGTGTGTTGGCATTTAGTGTTAAGGAATGGGACTAAGGAGCAGCTTTCACCAATAGGGTATGCTCTTAACAGATTAGCATACTGTTATCTAAAGGGGTAGAAGGAAGTGCATTGTCTGAATGGTCAGGGGTTCACAATCCTTTCAGCATAAGCCACTGGAGCCAACAAATCTCGATGAAATTTTTTTTCTGACCAGATTTACCTCATGCTCTTGTACATTATTTTTTTGTACCTCGGACAGTTCCAAATGTGCCTTACATGTATGTTACATGGTGTACTAGCTCCCCAACCCTACCTGTACAGGCTGTAGACAGACAAACCAGTCTACTTGACCTTGTCCCAACTGCTGGTTTCGTCTCAAGCTTCTCCAAGACTGGGAGGCTCCATGGGGGATGGATAGGCCCTTCCCGGCTGGTTGTTGTCCTGGTTGAGTGCTAATTGCAGGATTTGGTTACAAACGGTGAGCGTCCCTGTGGAGTGGTTTGACATCTGAGTATGTGGGAAAATGGAAGGTTGCTGTCTTAATCCTTATGGACTAGAAGTGGTGTGTCTTCTTGGGAGGTTGGGAAAAACAAGAAAGTCAAAAGTTGAAGTGATCTAGTCTTCTGTCCTCTTAGTATGGAGTTGTTTTATAGTATCATATTAAAGTGACAATACTTTGACTTTTGATCTTCCAGCCTTTCCAAGTTTGTTTCATTTTTTCTCTCTTTTCAAGTTCAAGTTTATATTGGATTTCTTGTTTGTTCTCCTATTTTACACCCTTCCTGTTATCATTTGTCTGCATTTTGTTTATCCTTTCAATCTCTCGATTTCTTGCAAAGGATTATCAGAAATACCAGGCAGTAGTTCAACTTCTTTTCACTCTGTTATTGTGTTTTGTGTGTTCAGCTGCCTTTTAATTCATTTGATTGATATTTCTTATAACACTGAGGTAACAATCTCAGGTGTAAAATGAAATGACTCACAAAGTGGAAAATAAACTACTTAAATGCAGGTTGACTATTGTTTGAAATCACCTGGCAAACACACAATTTTGTGATATCTCCAGTAGACAGCAATTAAAGACAACTTCAACAGTTTCTCATCATAAATAACAAGTGAATCAAAGGCCCACCTGTTTGAGTACATACACAATCCCACTGAAGGGTGTGTTATACAAACACCTTGAAGCACATGCATGTGTATCACATATCCTGTTTTTGACTACCCTCCAAATTTTCCTAAGTAGCCCCTTGTGCCCTGTACAAACCTGCCATTATGCCATAGTAACTCATTGTCTGCTAGTGAACCTCAATTGCAATGCCACAGCTACCGTACCCTTTGGATTTGGCTCAAGTTTTCAGGTGAAGTGTTGGAATTACCATGTGTTAATTGCAACGGGTGCAAAGGGACTCTGTGCTACCACAAGCCTGGAACTCTACTTTAACCCTTTACCACACTCATAATTCATTGCAACACCCTAGTTTGTTTTTGATGATAAAATCAAAGTGCTGTCTGAAACCCTGGCAACAGACTTGCAAAGGAACCTGGTCTTTAGAAAAAAATGCAAATCAAAGAGTTAGCCTGTAAATCTTTGTCTAGACATATAACATGAGGCCATGCCAGGAGAAAAGGCGTTTGATACTAGTCGAAATGACCAAAGGGTCTCCAGAGCAACTAAGCTGGTAGTCTTCAGTGTCCATTGCAATCTTAATGTGTTGTCCAAGAAGGCAGAGATTTGTCAATTCCATAACTTGAATAAAATCCTTGGCCATGGGACTGGATTGGCCACCAAGCACAGCCAAACAGAAGTCTGCTTGGGTTAGTTATACCGCATTAGCCTAGAATGCCCGCTTTGGTGTTGCTAAATGCTTCTGTGTAGCAAAAACCTTGTTCTTGCTTTGTATGTAAACATTCTTCCTACCCTGTTACTGGAGGTACTTGAAACAGTAATGAGACAAACGTGTCCAAGATGAGTTACTATTCCTTTGAAGTATTACACAATCTCTTGACTACTTAGTACCTTCCCTTTGAAGCTTAAGTAACAAGCTACAAAGTGTGGAGAAATTGCTTTTGGTGAAGTAATGCCGTATTTTCACTCATGATACTGTTTCATGATCATATCAGCAACGGAAGATAAGTAATTACCATTACTGACAAGATGTAATGTGCAAACTGAATAGTAGGCTTAGGAATGATAAGATCATGTAGGAAAAAAATGTTTTCAATCCAATATGTTTTATCCAGAGTTCAGACAGACACAGGTCATAAACTAGCAAAGGGGTCAAGTTCAAATTGAGAAGGGGAAATGGTCTGTCTACTCTGGGGACTGTTAGAGCAGACAGGGTGTCCCCAGCAGGGTTTGTTGTCACAGACAGACTTACATGAAAGCAGAGCCTGTTTGCCCACACTAAAAATTGCTGTCAACAAGCCACAGAGCCTGTCACAGAGGCGCTATTCAGACTACCAAGGGGGTGCTGGACTGGTGCATGAGAAAATATAACTATGCTGAAGTTCGTTTTACTCTAATGGGTTGTACCCGAGAGAGGGAGTGTTGGGAGCATGTCCCGCCCCTCTGCAGTTACAGGCAGGCCTGTGCAGAGATCATGTGAAGATTCTTGTGGTCTTTAAAAATGGCAGGCACCATAACAGGTGGCAGGAAGCTAATTCTGTGCAGTGAAATAGTAGCTAGTCATAGCCAGACTTGATGCCCATCCAGTGAGATCATGTGAGTTTGGCAATTGGATGAGAATATTGACCCTCTTACTTAGTCTTAGACCAGGTCATGACATATTTTAACCTTTAAGTACTAACTGAAGTAAAAAAAAATATCTAAACTCAGGTAAACGTCATCATTTTGTGATGACTTAGCTGATCTAAACCTTTCAGTATAGCATAAACTGTTCGATATAGCATTGTGATTCACTCTTTTTTTTTTCTGACAAACGTCAATAAGCTATAAATTACTTAATTAGTCAACCGTTACTTGGTACTTTGAAAAAGTGCTAAGTATAGTCATACATATAAGTGTGGACACAATTTGTACCCTGTTCTAAAGAACAATTACAATCGATCGGTTGATTTTAAGTTCAAAGTGAACTGTGAAGTCTAAAATCAATAGAAGTTAATAGCCTTTGGACAAGTGATACTGGTGTTGTGCAATACCTTATCTCAGAACTATCTTGGAACTGTACGTCAGGCTTTTAGCTAGGGGGTGTCCAGGGTGTCTTTTGGACGCCCTGTACTGAAAATAATAAGAAATTGGACGCCCTACTTTTTTGTAGGACACCCTAAAGACACCCTATTTTTCCCACTCCCAACCCTTGCCATGCACACATGCCTCCCTTCAGCCTTACTATAAATACAAAAATGATGGTTTACTGAAGGAAAAACCTCAAATTTACACCTGAAAATGCAGAAAGTAGTGTTTGTGAGCATTATGAATTTAAAAAAAGCCCCCCGAAAATCTTGCACTCAGCACGTCTTCACTGTGCATAGCATACAATAAAAAAATGGACACCCACCAAAAAAATCCTAGCTAAAAGCCTGCTGTACATCATATATTGACAGAATCTGTTAAAATGTCTCTCATTACTAATGTCAAATGTATGACACCATGATTTGTAAATTTGTACATATACATGTACATGTAGCTACATGTATCAAGTCCCAAATGAGACCACCATTGTACTACCCTCATGCCTACTGATATTTGCATGAGTGCTGCGGACACGTGGACAGTTAATATTTGCGCATGTGCAGGGAGATACATGAACATGGACTTTACTACCACCTGCTGACCTTATGGTGTCCTGCAAATAAGACCTTTAATCCAACAGGGTTGGGCCGAAGTTGGGAACAGGCACAGGTCTCTGCTATTTCCTACTTCATCAAAGGTACTTTTCCCTTACTACTGGTATTCTCTTAGCCATGGGGTTTTGTAAAGGTAAGACTAGGTTTATTATGGCCATGAAGTAGTGGTGAGCATGTCCAAACAGTGGATGCTACTGACATTGAATAAAAAGACAGCAAATTCCCTCATAGAGATTTTTTTGGTAGACAAATAATAACTTGCTTCTAGTAGGTGCAGGAGGTAAATTAAAGTAACTTACTACCATACCGGTAGAAGTAATTTCAAAGGTTTACCATTGTAGGGCTTTGATAACAGATATACTTGTATGTGCTATATGAACAATGAATGATTGTTTGGGAACTGTAAGAAAAGTAGATGATTGGCTGTCAGGTCTTGCTTGTAGTTGTGGGTATTGGAATACTAAAATACCTGCCGTATGGTTCTGCATACATCAAATATGAACAGGTGTACATTGAGTTAGAATAAACATCCTGTTTTCTAGGAATGGAAATACCCGTTACAGTATATCTTTGTTACTGCACCATGCAACAGTACTCAACATGATATGTACTACCCAGTATTTTAATTTTTCTCAGATATTAAAAAATGAACAGGAAATGGAAGATTACAAGAATAGTAGTTTATTTAATTTGACAATCATAAACATGCATTATGCAGAATTACCATGATTGTGTACTTTGACTTCTAAGTGTCTAACTGTTGGAAATCATGATGAAAGAAATAGTTTTATTAGAGCTGCCTCACTACATATTTCAGATATTATAATACATGTAGGTTTTAGTAGTGTTTATCCTATTGTAAGACCTATGTTATGATCTTTTATAATCTGATTAGTGGATCACCTCTGTATTTACTTAATAATTTTGTAAAAACATTGTTTGAATGCTTACTCCAATCCTGTGATTTAGAATTCTGTTAAACAAGTAGATTTATGTGGTGCTCTAGTTCATGCAGAGGTGAGTACACTTTGTAAAAATCCAAGTTCATTTCTTTGCCTTCATTGTAGGCAGGGTGGCATGATAAGATGATTTGTTGATAGAAGAATGGGGTTGAGTATAGTGGTGTTTTTGCTGGGATAAGTCTGCCATTTGATGAGATAGCTATGACTTTGTACAGGCACATTATGTATAGCTTGGATTGTAACGTTACTGTTCTTGTACAGTAGGAAAGTCTGTAATGCATTCAACGGAATGGACATACATGTACATGTATGTCAAAGCATAAAGAATACATGTGTCTGCCTATTGAGATGGGAAAAGGTTGTTCACGTGGAAGTCCACGTGTGGTGACAGAGGATGTACTGTTAGTACTGCCCTGACTTTTGCTGTGTTGTGAATGTATACCAGAGGAGTTGATCCTGTAGCATACTTGCCTGGGGTCAAGCTCTGTTTAGGTTGAGTCGATGTAACTGTTGTTACTGGCACGGCTTGATTTCATTTGCCTGATGGACATTTTATGCTGACATTACAGATATTCAGGTTGGAAGTTGAATAACAAAGATAATAATATTATACAGACTTTGGCTTGTGGGAATGATGTCTATCAAATTTAGATAATTACATAACATGAGAGATGCTTTGATATGGCAACAGGATAACTTGGAGCCTGTTTTTCCATGTAACACGGGGAAGGATGTTTACTTAACAGTGTAGATAACAATGAGACTATATGTATAAGGTAAAAACAAGTAAGACTTCAAACTCAGCACTGATCTGCAAGTATGATGAGTAGAACAGGAAGCAGCTCAGAGGAAGTATCTGTCATGTTCATGAGAAGGGAGCCAAGTTCATGGGAAGGAAACAAAAGAGTCACAAAGTCAAGGAAATCTGAATGAAGGTTATTCCAAAGTCATGGGAATGTATTATCTTAACTCATATAGCAGCACTAGAGACATTCTTCTGACTTTATACTATGTTTGTTTGAAGTGTGATAATGATTGATTTCTGTATATATATACTTTATATACACTGTACTCAAATCTATTTCCTCATATAGCAATATGTTCTGTTCTCGTTTAAGATACCATACAACAAACCAACCTTCAATTGGCAATTAAGATAACGCATGTTTTCTTTTTAATTTAAGCATTGGGAACGTATAATTATATCAGAACTAACCTTTTACTTAATAACCCTTATGTCAGGTATGCTTTGATCCCTCACACCATGAAGGTCTGCCATTGAACAGGTAACACTTGCTACTCAGACTCATCAATCATTCACTGCTGTCACATTGTTACGTAACATGGACGTGACATAGCTGGGATGTTCGGACCAGGCACTGGCCATATTCAGACCAAGGACCACTGCAGACGCATTCATCAAACGTGATGGGAGAAATTTCTCAGTATTTCTGCACTGACGCACGTTGTCATTTTTACGTGCAGCAACACACATAGTCAGACATTCTGTGTTTTAAAGAAAACATATTAAATTTGATATGAAGCCTAATGACATGTCAATGATATTTTTGGAATAGTGCACTGTGGTATACTGTGGAAAGTGTTAGGGAACATCTACATGTGACAAAAGAGTTACTTAACAAGCTTTATCTGATAGGTCCTGTTTGAATGTTGAGGAGATTTAGATTGACCGTCAGCAACTACTTGAAGGTGTGAAAATTGCTTTCTAATGGTATATGTATTGAGTGGCAATATCATGTCACATAAAGTAATATTTTGACCTTTTTGAAAGATGTTTGAATCAAGCTAAAATGGTAGGTGGTGCTTTTGTTACTGGTTATTTTAGTTTTGAAAAGTCATTCTCTGAATTTCAAAGATAACATGTTGAAAGACATACATATCAAGACAATATTTGATATAATAGGTGTTATGATGACATTTGAAAGAGCATGGTCTCCCCTCTAAATATGTACATTGTTTTAATTACATGTATTCCAATAGTGTTGAACTTGTAGTTGTAGAGATCATTTTAAAACTTAAGATTATCTTGTGTCTCCAAACTTTATGGTATATGATAATCCACACAGTGCCAGTTCAAGTACAGGTTCGGGTGCACCTGCTGGTGCCCTGTTCCCTGTCTGGCCCTGGGTCGGTCACGTTCCTGCTGTCTGACACCGGAGATCAGGCTAACTCCACAACAAATAAGCTGTGAGCTTGAACCAGCACCACGTTAATTATCTCTCCAGGCCACTCCCACCTCCCTCCCATCCCTGCCAGCCCCATTCCCTGCATGCTTCCTGCACTAGGAACTGGGACCATTCATGCCCATTGTCCATAGTTCCATGTCCAGAGAGAAGTACTGACTCATACTGGGCTAGTCACAGATAGGACTCGTGGTTCGCTATGGGTGGGACAAGCCCCTGTCAATCTCTCTGTTCACAGTAATCTGATCCAGCAGGAAACACAAACAACTTTGTACTACCGGTGGGTAAACTGTGCCGCACATCTCTGCTCCCTGCAGTTGCCGCTGGCATGTTCTGCCGGGGTGTTCTTTCATTAGGATGTGTTCCTGTCATAGCTTGTTGGATTACTTTGGAGTTTGTGTCTAGTGTTGTGGATCTTTTTCTTCTTTTTTTAAGGGGTGAGTACAGTTCTAAGAACATTTTTTTTCATGGGTTGGAATTTATGTAATAAGTTTTGGCAGTTTTGAATAAGACCTACATAAGCCTGGAGACTTGAAGGAACAAGTCTAGACTACAATGCTGGCTGTTTCCTAGCTTGCTACTGGATATCAGTTACCTTTTTTTTGGTTTGATGATAATGTTTGCCATAGCTGTGTTGAACGTACGAGTCTACATAAATGGCTCTCAATTAGAAAGTTTTTGCAATGTTTTCCAATTTATCCAGTACATGTATGCTTGGCTTCCCTTCTGGGTCAACTTTCTTTCTCTTTTTTAGACTGAAGCATCTACTACAGATGGCCTTGTTTTGGACATTGAAAACTGTTGGATATTTGTTTCATTGGATAATGATGCATTGTGATACATGAAGTAAAGATCTGATGTTTCTTTGCTGTTTTATCTAAGAAGTAAGTTGGTAAATTAGAATATAGGTAGAACCAGTGATAGGTTAAACTTTGATTGTTTCAAAAGTAGGTGAATTGAAAAGGTGGACATCAATCACCATTTTCCTAACATGTAGTAGAGACATGCATGCATAAACAGTGCACATGTAGGGTTTGATCCTTTTGATTTGCCCAGTTATTAGGAGAATTAGGTAAGCCAGAATAGGCTGAGAAGTTTGTCCCCCTGAAGTGTAACAGTAGTTGAGGAAGGAGTGCGGTGATGAAGCAGATCAGTGTTACAAAAAGTAAAGTGATATCATAATGGTTCTCTGGAAAGGTAATTTATCTCCGGAGGAAGTCACAGTGCACACTTGTACTTGACTTTGTGTATATGTATAGTCTTTTGAACTAGCCTGTCGTTGCCGTTGTTTCCTTTTTCGTAGTTGTGTTATACAGTGCCAAATCATTGGAACTCTGCAGATATTGGAGAAAAGCATTTGGTAGATGGTTGTACGGGACACGTGGGACTTAAAAAACAAATTCAGATTTTTTTTCAGCTTCATCATCTGCTTTGAGTATTTTCTCATGGTGTGGACTTAACATAACTCACAAAAAATGTTAATTTTTCTAAATGTCGTTTTGAAAGTTATTTCATTTTACATGAGACATTGTGTTTACACAGCTAAACTATCACATTTACACTTCACTCCTGTGAAACATTAACAGCCTTCAAACTTCCTCTGGATTTCCATTCTGTCCTCTTCATTTTGGATTGTGTACACAGCAGTCCCTAACAAGCTTAGGGTTTGCATAACTCTCCACGATAGCCCGTATACCCCTGCATTAAATGGGCTTAGGGCTGGTTTCACTGACAATTCATCTAAAACTACTGGTACTATGGGTTTCTTTGCCACCCAGGAGTAATGTCTGCATGTTATCTGCTACCACCTTTTTTGACAATCTTAAAGGTTGACTTATGCTTTTGGTTAAGCAGGATTATATTTTATCAATAAGCAGGAAACCTGCAGGACCCGCAGTATGACTGACTTTAGATAAACATGCAAACAATCGCAGTACTTGTTGAGATTCATTCTGTTCACTGACCATATCACAGCTCGTTTACACAAACTCAAAAATAGCTCATGAAAGAAATGGTTGCTTCTTTAAGTGCCAAGAGAAAAAGAATCACTTTGTCACTTTTTTTCTCTCTGTTGACAAAATGATAATCTGTTCAAGGAAGATAGGACATATCTTGTTTTTTCAAATCACTTATCAGTACATAAGTATCATTGGTTTTAGCAACAAGTAAATATACACATGTAATATGCTGTATGCTACCAACTGTGCATCTTGCAAAACATATTGCCATTTCCAGTTCAAGTTTCGGACAAATGTGAGTCGCTCTCAAAGTAACCTTTGCCTCAAATAAACTGGTTACCTCAAGAAAGATCTGATTGTCCAAAATGGCTGGGAAAACTTTATCTTGAATGCTGTTTTAACCACATGTATTGTGACCACTGAATGTGGCCATACTACGATGTCTTCCCCTAGTACAGCACAACTTACTGTCCTTACACAACAGCTGCAGAATTATTTGCTGTTTGCAAACATCCTGTGTAACCAAAAGACTTATCAGCCCATATTCAAGCCCTTTAACTGGCCGAGAGTTTGGGGAAGAAAATCTAATAAGGGGGAGTAGAACAGCTTTGAAATTTGGGCTGAGTTTGGGGGACAAACACTGGGATGTGTCAACAGACAAGTCACAGCAAATCTTGAATTAGAATAGTACCTTTTCATTTGTAATTATCTGTCCTTAATCAGACAATTTGTTTTCTATTAAGTTCAGCCTGCAAATAATTGAGGAAAATTAAGAATTGAAAAAGAAAAAGTGATAACGTGGTAACTACACTGTATTTCTTATACAGTGTGCTCAACAACTTTTGTTCAATCTTAGTAGGTATTACTTTTTCTTTTTGGAAAAAAGACACCTTTGTCTATATGGCAAATGTAGTGTACTTGAACTTTTCTGGTCTTCATTTTTTAGTTCCAAGAATATGTGATTTTTCATTTAAGACCAGTTAAGTTATTGTTTGATAACTATTGTATACTTTGTTGTTTCTACAGGGGTTATCATGTGGTTCTGACTTGTGCAGCCTGCTGGTTTCCCTTCTCCCGCTCCTGGTGCGAGTTCCTCTCCCGACGTCCCAGCCTGAGTCAGGTAGCCGCCTTCTTTGCTCTTCCCGTGTCCCGAACAGGGCACACACTGTCAGATCTAACGGTCCACGAAGCCTTGTCACGCTTTCTGCCCAGTGTGACAGAGAGGGTTTAGATAAGCCTGCATGCCGTGTGCACACTCGCCGGTGTCAGGAAGCAGGGTGATTTCTGCTCAAACAAGTGGTCCAGTCAGCCCTGCCAGCAGACCAGAAACAAGGCAAATCAGGGTACATTTGAAGATGTCCCTGTGACAGGAACTCGGCTGAAACCTAAAGCTTGGCAGGGGGGACTTTTGCCCGGGACTGCATGTTGGTGCTGTCCGTACCAGCTTTATCTTCACTGTGTACTTTTCACAGGCCTCTTCCAAATCTGCAGGGCGATTGTCTTTTACAGTACACTGTCAAATATTTTTAGCATTTGCTCCAAGAAAAACCATGTTGATTTAGAGAGTGACAACTTTGCTCCAGTTTCAAAGACTCCACACCGCTTCAGTCGTCAGTTGGAAAATTCTGTCAGCAGCAAGTCACACAGAGGGGCTTGTTCTTGCGATAGACATCAGCTAACATTTGAAATGTTGCTTGTATGACTTCTCTTTTTGAGCTATTGAAAGTAGCACCATGTAATGACAAGGTAAATTTATTGATTGATGTAACGTTATGTATACTTTAATTTGATTTTATCATTCTCTGTTATTTTACACTTTCTTAAAGAAATTGCCATTTCTATTTCTTCAAGTCTTCTTACCATTATCAATTTATTTTGTGATTGTAAAGTATGGTTCTCTTTTTTATCCATAGATGTTTTCTTGGAGGACATTGATTCCTGCCTCCATCCACTGAAAGTGCACTTCAGGAGAAAGAACCGGTCAAAGAAAAACTTCAGCTGGAAAGACTACTTTGAAAACAATTCATCAGAAGTGAAAAATGAGCCACGGACAAGAAAGGGTCTCTCCTCAAGGAGACTGCGACATTTGAAGCAGTGGTCAAGAGACGAGGATCCCAGTGCCGACCAGGAAAACTCCAGTGTCGAATCTGACACAGAAGGGTCAGAAATGTACAGCCGGAGCAAGTCCTCTGTTGTGGAACATGAAAACATGTGGATGCACAGTGATGACACATTTGGATTTGATGGCAACAATCCTCTGACTACCCCGAGAATCATTGCTGGCAAGATTTCCCCTGACATGGGAGTAGGAGACATGTACGAGGAAAGGGACTTCACATACAAACCAAAAACTATCAGGCCAGCCTACCACCTCAGTAGGAGGGATATCGACAATGGGCCTGTGGAACAGTGGACGTTTATGGACATGTCTGCATTTGAGCTTTGTCAGGTGCTTTTGTCTTTGCTGGAAAAACTCAGTCACAGTGAGCTGGCTCACGGAACCTACGGGAGTAATCCAGCAAGCACGGTATTGCACCAGCTAACACACATGATGGCATCTCTTAGCCAAAGTCTTTATAAAGAGACCGGGAACACAGCAGGGATGGTAGATGAAGAAGAAACAGACTTTGTCGACGGTTGGAGTGACGTGGCTACTGCTAGCCTACAGCGCATGATCTTGCGTAATGTCCTGACTTTGTGTAGTTTGAGTTGCACAAAACCGAGTGGTATTTCAGAGCTGGCAGGCAGTGGGATCATTGCTACCCTGCTGGATGCTGCGAAGGAGGCGCATAGCAAAATCAGCAGGAAAGAAGAGGAGACCAAAGCTAGGTCAACTGATCCAGCTGACACAAAAAACAGCAACGGCGTCCTTAATGATGCCAAGGCCAACAACAATGATGGAGGAAGTGGGCCAACATCCTCATATTCTACTCATCAGAATGGAACGGGTAACGAACATGACACAAACATTCTTCTCACCTCAGCCTTAGCCCTCCCAAGTGGGACCATTCTCCTGGTACACGAGATCCTGCGGGGGGTCCTCATGCTGATTAACAGCATTGTGCAGACGTTACCCATCAACCTTACCTTCCTGTCCCAGGCCCTCAACCTGCTCAACGAGTTCTCTGCCAGCAGCGGGTACCAGCTGGTTCTACAGACCATCTCACAGCTGGAGGAGCTGCTGACACACCTGGGAGATCCTGCCGAGGCGGGAAGGGTGCGTGACTGCATTACCTCGCTCATCACCGCCATGTTCAAGGTCGTCATCTCCATGAAGAAGGCCAAGGTCGACTATGTACACATCATGACGTGCCTGCGGAGGAAGCACAAGCGATGCGAGTATGGACGCTACATTCACCATCACCATGACATCTGTGGATTGTCCTCCTCCTCCTATGAACAGTTGGCGCATACCTTGAATGACAGTCAGTTCAGCCCCGACAGCCAGTACATGTCGGGGAGCCAGATGAACTTTGGCCCCCGGGGTCGGGGGTCGGCAACGAGATGCTGCATAGCAGTGGCCAGCGAGACACTCCTACAACTTCTTAGCAACACGTCATCAAGGTGACTTTTCTTCCCAATGTTGGTCCTTAAGATAGTACTTTGTTGTTAAGTCGAGTTAATTTCTGACATAACACCTTATTCTTTTATCTTTGATAAAGTGTCTTAATTCTAATATTAGAAAATGATATACACTGTGTATTTATAATATTATATGATGGCTGCCTTAAGTTGCCCTCTCAGAGTGCAGACTGTTCTGCAGGCAAATTTCAACAGTTCTTAAAACTTAAGGACGGTTTCTTTTCCTGCAGCACTGTGTACAAAACAGGTTCCCCCTCTCTGTGTCGCCAATTATCCACTTGTCGGTGGATCCTGTTTCTGTCTGATGATGTCTGTAGTCTATACAAACCCTTGTTTCACAGAAGGGTATCAACATGTTCGAGAACATAATCTCCAGAATGTTGGCTCCTTCCTTCTTATGGCCTCCTTGGTGTGTCTGGTCGTCTTAACTGCACCGCTCCTTGACTTGAGACACTAGTGTTGAGTGACTGTGGTGATGAATGTGCCATCCTAGTCCATTATACCTGCCTCATTACCTAGTGCAAATCTGCCACAAGTGTCTGACCAGACAGCCTTGACCTTTTCCTGCTCAATAACTTGGGTTTCTCACAGGTCCTTCTTCATGATAGTGTTATGTCTAGATGTTCATGAGCTTTTAACTTGAAATATTTTACACCCTCTTCATAAAAACTCATCATAAGAAAACGATTTTTACGTGTTTAGGGTTTGGACACATGAAAGGTGCATGACTGTATGGACCACCCCTTTATACTTAGTACCTCATGTTGCAGGTTTATCCACATGCGTGTGCTGGCGGGGATAGACAATGTGGGTGTGTGCTGCTGCATGCTGCCCTTCCAGGTGCTGCGGCCTGTCCTGGGCAGCCTGCCCTCCTACCAGCCCAACATGCGGGCGTACGCACTCAGTGTGCTGAGCCGCATCCTGCTGGAGCAGCTGGGGGGTATGGAGCTAAACAGCCTGAGGTGAGCGGATCGGTAATCTTGATTTGATTAGATTTGGTATTTTTACAAGATTCTATCCATAAAATCACACCTGTTTGATCTTAGATAAAGCGATCTCAGTTTCACATTCATTCATTATTCATTCATTACTACACTGCAGGTATGAGTCCTGTACGGTGTGTGGAAGCACCACAGTGCCGTCCACACCGGTGTATGACCTGACAGTCAGCTCTACAGAGTCGACAGCGAGCACCACTGCTACTACAGAGAGTGCCTTCTACAGTATCACAGACACAGGCAGGACGTTCTGTATCATGTCCAAGTGGGAGGCTTTGGGTAAGCTAACGAATCAATCAATCAATCAATCTATCTCTCCTAATGTCAACCATAACCTAATGATTTATTCAATAAGTCAGTATACATATTCAAGGAGAAATGAAACTGGTACATAATGTATTTTGACATAACATTTGAAGTAGACCGTTGAAAACAATTTCAATCTGTGGTATATTTGTTACTGTAACAGTTGTATTGTTAACTATTTTTGTTGATGAATGTTGTTAAAGTTTTATAGAAGGCTTGTACACCGGCCATGAAGACAAAGGAGTAAACATTGTCTCCTTTTGCTACGTTCACTTCAGGTCAGTACCAGGAGTTGTTGCACCTGGAGGACTCAGGTGTGAGTGTGCAGGTGGCAAGACACCTGTTGCACCTGGTGGCAAATGCTAACGAAGGTGTCAGGAAAGAGTTCTTCATACAGGTGGGTGCTTCCTTACCTCAGGAGTAGCTTACTCACTGGCTGGCTGCATTCATTCACTCACTCAGTCATTCAATCACATGTAGCCACTTTCTAGGCAAAGCAGTTGACCTTACAGGTGCCCTTGGATTATCCACAGTCACATGGATGTGAAAACAAACAAACATCTTTATAGTGTTGACACTGCTACTGCCATGTGCTGAACACAGAAACCCAAGGCTGTAGTGTTGATATCTAATGTCCGTGTAAAGTCCAGTTTTTACCAGGCTTCTTTTCACTTTTATACAGAAAGTTGTACAGACCATTTTATTTGACATTGTTCATGTTCTTTGTGTTTCTCTATGTAAGTTAAGCTCCCAGCATGACATGTTTCCTTTCTTCATCAGGTGTACCTACCATTGCTACAAGAAGCCCCTGCAGTTTTCCGTGCGTCTGAGCAGAGTGTGAAAGCCGACTCGCCCAGCCGTGCGGTGATGGAGTGCTGTCTTCTGGCCTTCCCTGTCCTCCTGACCTCCCCGTCTTCTCAGCACCTGTTCCTCAGCTGCGGAGGGGTGCATCAACTGGCACAGCTGCTGCATGTGGCCTCTGTCAGACCAGCTGTCTTGCAGGTAGGCTGTTCTTACAACATTCCATACCACATTAATTTTGCTACCACAGCCAAGAAGTTATTATTTAATGCTTTGTTGGCCCCTTTCATATTGTATGATTTATTCAAATTTTCATGTCCAATGTTTGTAGAAAATGAATCTGTGCCTCACTCCTGCAGGTATTTGAAGTACTTCTCCAACCAGATGACCACTGCCACCAGAGCCGTCAGGCGAGCCCTGCCCCGGGAAGTCGCCGCTCCAGCCTGGAAGTTTCTACCAGCTCTCTGTCATCCATACACAGCGGTGGTCTTCCCTTTCCTCATCGGCGGCCCAGCAGTTCTCCCAGGAAGAGGAGTGGCCCCTCCGATGGACATAAGATGTCGGGAAATGTGGTCACTGTCCTTGTGAAACTAGCCCTGAACATGGTGTCTGAGACCCAGGCTAGTCAGTCTTTAGTTGACTCCAGTTTAAACCAGACCCCATGGGACCGTGAGGTGCCATATGGGGTAAATTCGGCTGCTGCATTGCACATGAACTTGTTGTTGTCCAGCACCCCTCTCAACGTTGACAATGTCAGACTCCCGTCAGATGAGAACCTTGGGATGGTGGCAGATGTATGGAGGACATGTGGTCAACTGTTCTGCACCATCCCAACCTTCAGAGACTGTTTCCTGCAGCAGGGTGGGTACACCTGTGCTTCTCACCTGCTGACCTTGACTGTTAACTCCTTCTGCACCAGCGAGTTACATGATGGCAGCACGCTGACAGCATCAACAGCTACTACAGACGTTGTGTCCTCCGATGACCTTCAGGAAGAGACTGTCTCTCCTGACATTGACTCCATTAGTGTCCAATCTAACCTGACTGATAGAACTTTGAAGGATGCATCCCTGTCTGGTGAAAAGGGAGACTTCTATTACATCTTGTCACTGTTTGAGTCGACCCTAGCCATCTGTTTGAAGACTTCCTCAAGTGTAGCAGCCGCTGGAGGCGCAGAGGATACCCACAATGCTGTGAAGGTGAGAGGTCATGATATCCAAATGTCATTGATTTACATGATAGTGCAGACACAATGTAACTGTATAGATTTGGTTTACTTAGTCTAGTTGCTTTTGTGTATAATAGGGTTTGAGCATGGATCAAGTGATTACAAAATGTGTTGTACTTACAAGGAAGTAATGCTAAATGGTTTTGTACACCCTAGCCTGTATCATTCTGAATATCCTGTAAAGGTACAGATGTATTTAATGAAACCCTGAAAAAGGCAAATTGAATGTACAACATACATTAGGAATCTGTATTTTAAGTTTGTGATAACCAATGACTAAGGACTGTTGAACTGTTAGAATCAAGTAGTCAATGTGACAGCAACTTTAGTCACTATTAGTGCCTAGCAACGTTGACTATTTTTAGTCTTAGCTTTACTGACATCAGCAGTGGAGGCCTATGTTTGTTCACTATAAATCTTGCCAAACCTTTCCAATCATAATTTGACAAATAAGCCTGAAAGCTGACCAGAAAGTTCCGGCCTCAGACAGAAATGTCTGGAATGCGCAGAGCTTTGCAATTCCTTTCAAAATGTCACAGAGTCTGACTTGCTTGAGATAAGTTTAAATATTGTATAAATTATAATGAAGTTCAGTGTTCAAGTGGAAGTGAAGATTGGCTGTTGTTGGGATCAACAGGTCTCCATTCACAAAGTAGATATGCTTAGTTGTTTAAATCAAATCACAAACAGTTTGATGGGCTTTTTCCAGCATGAATCTGTCAAACTTTCATTTGTTGTAGAAAGACATGAAAACAAAACCATTGTTCTTTGAAAAATTGTGTTAAATCTTCTCAACCATACACCCAGTAACAAGGAAATATATATATATAGGGCTTCCACCATGGTGCCCCAGAAATTTGGAGAACGACTTTTCTATCTTTGAAGTGACATTAGTATCATGTACCCAGGGAGGAGCACTGACCCAAAGCAATGCTCTGTTTTGACCAAGGCGTGCATGACGCTCGTCCTGTGTGAATAGCAAACAGTCATGCCTATAAATGTCCCTGACGTGTCACTGTAGGCTGTGATGTGCACAACATTCTGTTTGCCATCTGTGTGTGACTAGTTCAAGGTCGTTCAAAGGGTATCCTTACAGGCCTCAGGGAAACTACATGTACGTAGAGGACTGCTATGACTTAGAAATCTTCTGACTGTTCAGCAAAGTGATGTCATCTTCACTTGAAGGGGAATAGAACAGTAGAGAATGATGGAATACAGTTGTTCCCATATAATGTCTTTGATGTGACAGTCACTGATAGCTGCCTATATAGCTTGCCATCTATATCTATCAAGATCCCGACAGCTTAACATGAGATGGATAGTCTTGGTTTTTTTGGTGTGCAACTAATTTTGGCCTCTTCATCAGAGTTGGTTATATTACCATTAAAGGTACTGTGCACATTGGTTGAAGTAGATATATAACATGACATATGTTTCCTGATATCTGTTGTAAAAAATTTGTTGTTACTTCAGAGAACTGTGATGTTCATATTTTCTATTTAATTCTAGATACAGGTACAAGAACACTTACTGCAGTGAACAAATCCAACACAGCATTACAACTCACTGTTTTTTTGCCTTTTGAAAGTACATGTATGAGCGGCTGCACGAAAAGGCAGTCCAAGGGGTTGCAGTTCTTTTAAGTTGATTCAAAATCTTTCCTAGATAGCTTAAGATTTTATGTTGGGACTAATAATTTACATTTCACATGTCATTGAATGTCTTTTCTTTCTGACTTTCCCAGCCAATGACTGTTGACCAGGTGATCCAGTGCATCAAGGTGCCACTGCTTCAGTCTGGCCTAGCATCCTCACCTTACGGCTATGCGCTGTGTGATACCCTGCTCAACGCTGCGACTCTGAAGCTCGCCTCTCCAGATGGGCCACCAGCCATCCTCACTCTACCTGATATGTCACTGGTGAGTACAGGCATCTGTCCTTGGCCCATGTAACTCTGGTGTAACTATTTTACATGACATGTGACAACCAAACCATTCATATGTAACTGACATACAACAAATTCTAAGAGCTCTCCTTGTAAGACATACACACAGTCATGTAGAAGTGTAAAAGTAGGCATGTAGTAGTCTACAATGTAGTTGTTAGCTATCACTTAAGAAGTTTCAGTATGACAGGTAAGCGATTGAACAGCAATGTATGATGTTTTAATGGTCAGCACTGCCTGTAGTGAGCAGTTTTGTCATTGTATCCATGTAGTCTTTAGCTTGTGGAGTCCAGATGTAGACATGTAGGGGAAGCCAACTGAAGAACTGTTATCACTACACAGTTCTGTTGGAAGAAGAGCATCTATCATGCCAGTCAGGACGTCCTGACCCTCAATTTACCTCTAGAAGGCCAAATGTTTTTCCACTAATGACTTTGGATGTTTGAGTTCGGAAACTTCTCGTGGTTGTGTGAATGTTGAAACAGTATGTGGGTCACCAGAACTGGATGTCATTTGGCACAGAAGGAGTACAGGCACAACAGGCACAACATGTTTCATACAGAGATCTAGGATCCATGGTCAGTTATAAGGGTGCATATGGGGGGAAAGTGTCCCACACATTTTATGATGGTTTCATGTTCTTGTTTGACAAACAAATGGACCTTCAACTTCCAAGGACACGAATGAAGGGTATGAATCAGATCAGTGTATTCACATCTTCTTATTTGGTGTACAACATTCTGAAAGTTAGACGTTCTTACCATTGTACGTACCATTTCTGACAAGAATGACTCAGATGTGGGGCTTAGCTTTGATGTTTTCTGTGCATTACCTGCATACTCCACAGTCATGTTTGTGGAACTGCTTTGTTCTGATAGATCTGGGTCACCCTGACCCTCACCACCGTTAACACCACTGTGACAGTAATTAGTGCTTATGTGGTGTTGTCTTAAAGACTCACCTTGAACATATCATGATAACAAGGAAACTTGTCAACTGATTTTGTTTGGCGAAACGCTTCTTAGCCGCTAGAGCAGGCTTTGTGTGCAGCCAGGCTGTTCATATTGCTTTTTTGCTGTCAACCAATTTTCTTAATGCTAATTTGTTCTAAGGACTTCCACTAAGTACTACATACATCTGCATTAGTCAGTAATGTAGAGCCATTATGGTAATCAGAAGATGTGCAATAAAAGAAAAGCAGCAATATCAAAATCCTGTTTGGCTGAAGATCCTGCTCTGGAGACTAAAGCCTTCTAGGCACCTGTTATGAGTGCAGGAAGCATGGTTTGTGATTATAGACGGGTCCTGTTCCAGTTCTGTTGACAGAAGAGGCAGGTCAACATGTGTCTTTAGGATAAGGAAAGACACTAAATGATTTGTAAATATTCGGGGGTTGTCGCTGACTTACTAAGTTTGCCTCTTCACTTTGGATAAATCTACTATGATAGTAATATAGTCACCTTCAATAGACTTCTAGCAGTAGAAGACAGAAGAGATGTGATGGGAAGCATTATCGTGCAAACATAACCATCTCTTATATGCATAAACATGTATTGACCTGTACATACACTGGTAATTGTACTGTGTATATTGAAAGTAGGTTCTGTTTGAGCTTCCTTTGCTAGGATTAAGAGGACTAAACTAGAATGGTGACCTAATTCGGTCTCCCATCCCTTGTTGCTTACGTCATCTTTGCCAGCAAGTGCATGACATTTCAATCTCTGCAATGCAAAAAACTCTTCAGCCTTAAGCCTAGGAGGAACCATGTATTGATTCAGTATGTTACCCAGTATGTAAATTATTGCCCAGTGAGTCAAAAGTTGGAAGGAATGGATAACTTCAACACTTCCAAAACTTTTATTTGTCTTAAAGTTTTGTCCATTTGAATAAAACATGTCTGTGACTCAGAAAATAAAACAAGGAAGTATTTTATACAAAAACACTTCAACAGACACTTCTGGAAATACTTTATGGACTGAAGCAATAAAGATATTATGTTATATGAACTCCCTGGAGTGTAAAACACACAGACCATGTTGCAAGTTGGTCATTATGACTCAGCCTTATGTTTGCTTTTGTCTCAACAACACCAATAAGCCCTTCTTGGAACAAACTTTATTGCTCCCAAGGAGACTGCATTGTCTGAAGAGAACTGTCATATGTCTCATATATTCCTCAGTAATAGTCTCTTTTAGATATTCTTTTATTGTTTCTTTATGTAATCTTTTATATGATACATGTACTAGTAAAGAGAAAATGGTAGGAAGAACCTACTAGTATTAAGTGCCAAATGAATGAACAAACAAAACAAAAAGGCAAGCCCAAGTTTGTGTCAAATGACTCAAGTGTAACAGTTATATAACCTGTATAATCATTTATGGCACATGTTTATGACGACGCACATGTAAGCAACGTGCCTATGACTCATCTTGAAGAGGGTGAAAGGGCAATAAAATGATATGTATATATATATACATTGTACTTGTTATTGTGCTTTATGTTGTGCACAATGACAGTGCAGTAGAAGCATAGTGTTGAAAATTCCAGTTACTGAGTAATGCATTACCTCTGTGCAAATGCCTGCTGCTACCATGTGTTACAATAATATATTTACCCTGTAGGATGGTAATGACGAGCTTTTGGATGAAGACCTGTTCTTGGAGGAGCTTCAGGCAATAAGCGACACTGGCAGCGAGCAGAGCGACCGCTGGAGTGTGGAAGAAGGCTACGAAGCAGACAGCGAACGTGACATGGACGACTCCAAGTCTTGTAAGTACAAATGAATTCTTTTATTCAAGAGCCAGCCTTGAATCCTTCATTGTGTATTTTTGAAACAGTCGTGCCCAACCAGATTTCATAGATGACATATTTTTGAAAGATGCATGGAAAAGCCAAGTGTGAACAAAGATCATGAAACAAGCCGGGAGTCGCAAAAGAGTTACCTGTTAGGAATAGGATGCAGAATGCACAAGTATACAATGTCATCTAGGTGTCTTGACGTCAGAAAGTCTTTGAGTTTGTGTGCCGCCTTAAGGGCAAAGAGGGCTCCTTTGTGTTATAAGCATCTTAAGGCAAAATGTCTTTAAGTTGTCAATAGTGGACACTTCCCGAACATGTCAGGATTTTTTCAGTGTTGTGATTTCACAGGTTCTTAAAGAAATCCACAGTTAAACATGGCAAAGAAAAAGAGTTTTAAGATTACAAAAGAAGCATCCTGAAGGGTATCCTATTGCTTTTCTCTCAATCCAATTGTCAGGGTGCTGTTGATTTAAGGATGTGATTCATGTAGAGCGAAGAACTGTGTTGTTTTTTGGAAGACCAAGAAGTGTATACATGCACATAGGACACCTAAAAAGCTCCCACCCCAAATTAGGCCAAGGCATCTTTTAGAATGCAGTTGTCACCCTTAACTTTAGATATGCCCTAGGCAAATGTTATTGCCTGGAGAGCTATTATATTATGCTAGTATGTTATCCTAATATGTTGCTTGATTTACATGTAATGTTACTTTACAGGTGTCAGTTGTTTACAACTAGGTATTTAGGGAACATGGCATAAGGGCAAGAACTTGGAGAAACAGGAGAAATTGGAGTCCTCAAGCTTTGAGTCCCATCAGGTTGAACTGTCTAGACCTGACTTTTCTCCTTATAAGGTTTTGTCCTGAATTTTTGTGGTCACCTGAAATCCTGGTGGGGGAGATCACCTGAAGGGATGATGGGAGCTTCCAGCAGCTGGAATGTTTGTTGTGCATTTTGACCGCGACCAGGAATCTATGGAATGGCCTCACACGTGCACACAAACACTTAAGATGGCCGAGAAGGAGGTGATGTCATAGACAGAGATCATCCTCTTTTCTTAGGTGTTTGGTCATGTTGAAGTTTTTCATACTGAGTCATGGCTTTTTGTTAGGTCTGACTGCAAAGAAAGGAAAGATACCTCTGTCTAGTTTCATCTTAGAAGAAGTTATTATTAGTCACGATAGTCATTGTAATGAGATCTGCATGACAAAAGCATGTGTGGCTTTTTATTCTAGGTACCATGTAGAAAGTTTAGATGCCAAGAAAATTTTGATAAGTACAGAAGATAGCATGGGAACGTTCAATGAGAGGCTATAGGTTAAATTTTGTCAGTCTTTGTCCCAAAGTCATGTTGGTAATGAATTATGGTGCACCTTCATGGTCTTTCAGCTGGCAGACGTCTCAGGTATGTGAGGAAAGGAAGCTGAGAGTGATGCTGTCTGCTGATTTCTTACAGAGTAGGTCAGCCATTAAGTGGAAAGGTCAAGTGCATCTGCTGCTAGTTAACATTTTTCTCAGGCATAGTGTCAGCTCTGTACCATTCCGTTGAATGGTCATGGAGTAAATATTGCTGAGAAAGAAAAATCTAGCTCTGACAAATATGGCTTCTTTGAAATGTTTCGTACAAGTCTAGTACTTTGATCAGGAAAACAGAATACATGAGGTGACTCAATGTTTGTGTGACACTGTGTGTTTATTTTGCTAGATACATGTATTATGGAATTTAGCTGCTATTCTTTTATTGTCAAGTCTAATGTTATCTTTGTGTGCAAATGACTATAGTGTATACTTTCCCAGCAGTTCTCTTTTTGTGAGGGTAGGACTGCCTTTGTGTTTATAAAATAGTACCTTTGCTCCTACAAACTTCCTGAAGCAAACAGGTGTAAGGAAAACTGTTGTCATGATAACAGGTCAGGACACCTGTAAGCAGGATGTGGCTTTTCTAATAGGAAGTCTGATTTAGATAGTAACAAAAGTGATACAGCCACAGAAACAGATGTCTTTGCTTTTTAGATCTTTTGTCTTCTTTAGAAATGTTTAGACTGGCAGGATAGAAAAGTGGACAGAAATATCCGTGCAGTGATGTCAATGACCCAAGTTTGCTAAATGTACTGATGTCTGCAGAAAATTTAGTTTTGGATAAAGAAAATAGATTATTAAACTTTCCACTTGTGATGAAAATGTCCACGTCAACCTGCTAATGACTTGGATGTTTTTTCAGTCCATGTTCCCCCACCTGTGTTAAGGATGTAATTTGTTTTGCAGGAAACCTGAGTTTGATATGAACAGCAATGCTAATAGGAACACGTTGAGACATAATTAGGCAAAAGATGTATAGGGTCTGCTGCTCTGGCAGCTGGCCGGATGAAACATCCTGTCTTTGGGGAAACATAACTCATGATCGAACAAGGAAGTTAAGTGCAATGCTCATTTCTTTAGATACCATGTCTCATTCTGCACTTAAGTCCCATAACCTCTCACTGGTCACCATTTTTATGATGTACAGGTTCCAGACAGCAGAGATCACTTTCCTCAGTCTCCATGGAGATGTTCTCAGACCACGCCCACCCCACTGTCCTGATGTACCCCCAGCTGTGTTCCTTGACCTTGGACCTGCTGGTGTCCAGCGACAGCGGCTGCAATGCTAATGTGGTCTGCCGGGTGCTGGACAGGCTGTGCTGTCTGGTCAAGGGCAGTGAGGCCAACAGTGCTACACTGTACAAGCAGGTAACATTGTCTCATCTGAACATTTTTCTAGCGCTCTATTGTACCTACATCTGCATATATATGTACCGTTGTGTTCATGTTTGTTGAATTGGCAAGTTCAAGGTCCAAGTTCAATAAAGAACCCTGCAACGTTACCAAGGTAAAATCTTCTTTGTCACTTGGAAACCGCCTTAGCCTCTACTGAATAACAATGGGAGATTTTACAGTCAACAATACTGTGGAACACTGTTATTTTCTATCAGCTGTACATCTGAATGTATTGGCTAATATTTAGACTCTAATATTGACAATTCTTCCTCTTCCACAGGATGTGGTGGAAAAACTGCTTAAGGGATTCAAGTCTGTACTCACATCAAAGGACGATTCTTCCAGCCGTGAGTTTACATACTTGTTCAAAATAATTTGGTGACTGTATTGCTTGTTTTGTCATAACAAGTTTTTCCAATGTTATGCTTCTTCCTGATAGTTGTACAGATGTCCCTTGAAATCTTTGAACTTGAGCCTTGCATGGTTATGATGACTATGGATTATAAAATGACAGGAATGTATATTAGTTGAGTCTATTTAAACCAACTTTGGTAGTGCACATTTTCTAGTTTCTTTCTTAAAATTTTTACTGTTCACCTGGTGCAAATTTTCAAATTGTCACAACACCTACATGTATCTTCAGAGTCCACTTGTATTATTGCTCACTTTGCTCTTCTCCGTCTCGATAATTTGGTACCTCATTACCCCTACTGTACTGGTGGTCTCTATCAAGAATTTGTTTACACAATAGTCTTTGTATACCAGATCATGTTTACACAATTGTCTTTATATGCAGAGCAGGTCTCACTCAAAACCAGAGAAATCCAAAGCCTTAGAAATGTGTAGTGCCACAACATATTTAACTAATTTAACACTCCTACATTGTAAACTGGTAATTAAAAGTAAGAAATAAGCCTTGCCAGTTTCAAAGCATTTGGCAGCTTGTGAACCAATTTATGTAAGATCTACTTTTGACATATTAGCATAAGAATAGACTACATGTCACATGAGAGCCTCAAGGCACTGAAACTTCAATTCAAGAAATTCTTGTCATGTTTGATATATCCAGATTTGATGCCAGATTTAAGGTAGTATGTGTTGAATGATATGAGAGATATTTTGTATGACCAACAGGATTTTGGAGGACCAAAGATTATTAGGTATGCTGAATTATATCCTGGTATGCTACTGGTATATGAAGACAAGAAGTGTGACGAGACTGGGTGTGTATGGATGATTAAGTAACAATAGTAAGCAGGCAGGGGAAGTCCATGGTAGTCAAACTAAGTATTGCCAAATGTCATTTCAGTCTTTGTGAACTCTCTGTGTATTGATCACCACTGACTCCCTTCTGAGCATCTCAAATGCAAAGTGCTTGGGGGTTAATATTCTCTGTGATGGCCTGCATAGCGATAGCCTGGGTTCCATCCTGGTTAGTTTACGTCTGCTCCTACAGTTGTGGTAGCGACTGTAGGAGCGGACGTAAACTAACCAGGATGGAACCCAGGCTAGCATAGCGATGCATTAGGTAACTAAGATGTTAAGGCTAAGCACGCATAGCTTACATGACAATTATGCCACTTAGTCTAGTGCTTCCAGTGCAAAAGGATTCCAGACTGTTGTAATGACCTGAGGGTGCTGCTTTTTCCCCACAGGTGAGCGGACTCTGCTACTGGAACTGTTCATGGCCCTCTCACAACACACCATCTCAGCACAGGAGCTCACCAGGTTCTTCGCTCTCTTCCATGGCAGGGAGTTACCACTGGTAGGTCTCACTGGAAAGTGATCAATTGTCCGTTTTTGTTTGGTCAAATCTTGGTCTCCCTCTGGATCTCTTGGGCAGAACCCTGAGGCTGATAAGGCCATTCAGTCTATTAGTAAGTAGATACATGTATCTGGTATGATTACATACTTACCTTTGAGAAGAAGATTATTTTTTGGTGCCATTTGTGTGTTGTTGTTTTTTTTTGTTAACAGCATAGTTGCATACACAGCATACAGAAGTTGTGGAAGGATCTGTATTATATTTCGTATTTTGATATTAATATTTGTATCTGATGTATTTTATCTTGATTATTGTTATAAAGCTAATGCGCAATACTTTCAGGACTGCCTGTTGTCGACCATGCTGAAGTTGACCCCCAGCATGACGGCCCAGCCCTCCCACATCCTGAGTTTCCCCACCGTCGTCCCCCCCACCCCTAAACCTGACGCCCCTGCCACTGCCAGGCCACAAGGATCGCCCAAGAGACCTGACACATTGAACATTCCTGACAGGGGTGCAGACGGGAAGGCTGGGACATCCAGTTCAGCATGGCAAAGGGCTCCTGTACAGATTCCTATCAAGTAGGAGACTTGTTTGTTCATTGTACAAAGTCTTGCCATGTTAGATGCATATAAATGGTACTTATTGTATTCTCTCATTGGGGACATAATGTCACAGTTTTAAATTTCCAGTTTCCTTCCTCAATGTTCTAATTCAAACTCTCTTTTATGACTTACATGTACAGTAGTCTTGAAGTGATGATCATGGTTCCTTTTCTGTTGCGAGATGTATTTGGTCTCATGTTGTTTAAATCATGACTTCCATTGCCTTTCATTTGGTTAGGCCAGGCACTGTTCTGGCATGATTCTACACTGCTCTGTGCTGATAGGCTGATATTGTGTCTGTTGTCAGGAATAACGTGACATGGCCGCCTCGTGGACGTGGGCTGAGCCTGTCCATGTGGCTGCGCCTGGAGAGCGTGTGTCGCACACCGGGACTGAATGGGGGTAACGGCAGGAGGGGGAAGAAGAACAAGTCAGTCATGTTCAGGGACTCCAGCTCTGACAGTATGGGTCAGTGTCTCTTTGTTTTGATCTGTGTGAATTGTAGGTTGTTAACAAATTGTGTCAGATAATAATAATATTGTAATCTGTGATGTTCGTTCTACTATCAGACCATGTGAATGTCCAGAATTTCTGTGGAACAGCTTTTGCTCTGTGTCAAAGAAACACTGACTATGTTGTTGTATACTATTTGTTTATTTATTCGCTTGTTTTTTTGTGTAGATACAGACAAGAGTGACCCGTCCAGCCCCCGACACAGCACAGACAAGCTGCACTCCTCCGGGTACCTCCACCTGGTGTCCTGTGGCTCGAAAACACTCATGATGCAGACCTGGGCGGACACATCCACAGGCACACTCACTTTCAGGTGCACCAGAAACCTTACCTTATCTACATTCTACATCAGATTCTATTCCATACCTGTATCTACAGTTAGTATTTCACATTGTAAACACTAAATTTGACCCAAAAATGTGATTTTCTGATAAGGTATCTTTAGTTATCAATGCACTACACTGTATGTACTGGGGAATAAAAGTACATGTATTGCTGGTATTGTTACCCAAGGACTATGGGTGACGGGTCAGCCCTCCTATATATGTACCAGTTATGTATACATGAATGTTTCCTTTGTGAAGATTGAAGGATGATTAAGTGATAAATGCATGTCGGGCGAAGGAACCATTCATTTCAACTATTTTAGTTACGCCTCAAGGGTGACCTCTATAACTATGCAAGCATACAAGCACCACTGAATACCATAATTGCAGGTAAATACTCTAAATTGCTTTGTCCCTTTGGCAATATGCATGAATGTATGCTTGTATGGTGCTGGATTTTGATTCATCACTCTTATACAAGGGGAAGAAAAATACATTTATTTCATGCATAATTTTGTTCTGATATTTTTATCTTTATTAGTTTGTTGTTCAGAATCTAGTTTTTCACCTGAAATAGGCATTAATATCAAATTGACTCATACAAAAGAGTTTGTTAACACATAACTGGACCCAGGTAACCCCTGCTGTGTTTTCCTCAGGATCTGTGTGGACCCAGATGATGGTAAGCAGCCTGGCACGCTAACAGAGACCACCTGCCCCCGGCACTGCTGGTGTGTGGACAGTGGCAGCATCTCTGCCTGTCCTACTGTGAGACCATGGATGCAAAGAATGTCTTTGGCACTGTAAGCCTGTCCTT